CGATTAAACTCGAGCAGCAAAGAGAACGCCTATGACACAATAAACGAGCATTAGTGCATATATTAGGCTGTGTACTGTGTCTTTTCAGCCAGTGTTTTCGGTTCAGTAAGTGTTTTGGTAGTGTTATTGCATTGTGATATTTTGGAAGGGAAGTGCATTCAGTAAAAAGTACAAGGCAGACGCAAAACGTTAGTATGGCAGGTAGTGCAGGACTATAGGGAACGTAGTCAGATCAGGAGTGACGAGGACAGTGAGGGCCGACGAGAGGAAACGAAGTACTTCGTGATGGAAAATTTAGGTTTGCACGAGCAGAGGAAGTACGTGAGCCGACCGCGATCGCACTGATCATCAGAGACTACGCCAGACAACCATGCGCAACACACAGAAGAAGATTCGATGAGGACATTAATGCAGGCGTTATTAGGGAATTTTTGCGCGAACCCTCGCACAACATGTAGAAAAATTAAGGGCAAAATTAGCAGCAGAAATTAAGAACAGTCGCGAAAATCAGAGGAGCAAGTGCAAAATTAGCCGAAAAAATTGAACGACGCAGACAAAGGTTTTCAATTGAAAAATTCGAGCAGTTCCAAACAGTCTAATGATTGTCAAGAAGTATTTGTAATGCGACGAACTTTCGGGGAGAGATCGCTGTGCAAGTAGCACATGCAACTCAGTTACATGAGGAAAGGCATGCAGATGTCGAGGCGAGAATTGATTCAATATCTACTGAAATCGAAAAAAGGATAAAAGAGAATAGAGCACGATTTTTTGGGCAAATACAGAATGAAGTAACCCTGGTATAATATATCAGTGGGCAGTACTGTACGGAATCCGCGCAAAGTTTGAGAAAGGTCGCTGAAAAGACTAGTACAGCCGACGAACATCAATCAACGCGTCTTGCGTTCCAATACCTGTGCAGACATTGTTCAACACCGGCTTGGGGTGGACCCGGCGAATTCATCGTCGTTCGTTGGCCCAGAGGTATTGGTCGCCCGAGGGACGGCGATTCCCGACGGACTTCGGGTGAACCGAAAAGATTGCCCGAAGACACCGCCGCGCGTTGCACGACGGCCCCGGTTCGCCTCCAGAAGGAAGCAGGTGGTTTTTTAAAACATCAAGGTACGTTGACCGTGCTCTTGTTTTCCAAGGCCTGCGCATTGCGATTTGTAATACTATTTTGGTAAAGTGTGTTCTCTGATCATTAAAAATATTTAGATGTGCAAAAGAATTTAATAACGATTACTCCCTATACGCGCCAAATTCCTGGAGACCCATTCACGAAAATGTAACCTGACCCTTGCATTATTTATTTGTCGTGAAAGTACCGCTTCCCAGGTACGTCACAAATATATATATATATATATATATATAATATATATATACTAATAATATATATATATATATATTATATATATATATAACTATATACTATACGCGCAAAGAGAGTGTCAATTTGGCGCTCTTTCCGGTGTTTGGGGCCTTCCCAGGTACTGCACCAAGCTCTCAGCTCTTGGCTGTATTACTCTGTTTACGACATTTACTCTCTGGCCCTTCACGGGCGACATAGGCCGGTTCCGTAGCCCAACTAGCTGGTGGCGATGTCTACCGCTGCGGTGTGACCGAGGGAATCTCAAGGGAACCCCAATATTCTGTCTTCGTTAGTCTCGCTGCAACGCAATTTTCTGAATTTCGCTTGTTATTGAAAGTACACATTTTCAGTAAATTATTGACGGTATTCAATGCACTTTTATAATATTTGGAGAATTTGTTTTCATTTCATATTATGTTGATTCAAAACGTACAACTGCTAAGATGGCCGTTCTGGTCTCGCGGAAGCAAGTGTGCCTATTGGCATCTGCAGCTCGTCGGCCATCAGTTTGCGAGTGTTCTTGGGAATACGATTGCGAGTCGAAGCCCCTTCATTATTGACATATATACTAGGGTAGTGACGTTTTCGAATTAAAATAATTTTTTTCTGAGAAATGTCGAAGCAATAGTGCTTTTTTCAATGTGTTGGAGTCTACCGTAAGTGCCTAGTGGAAATCAAAGCCGGAGGAGGTATATATACCTTACACGAACACGGCGCATAAAATGATGTAAGTAATGTTTCAATACAATTTTTAATTTAAGTTAATTTTAATTAATTTACTTCAATTGCTTATATTTTTTTATATCAATGTGCGAAAACCAACAAGGTTTAAGATACTTTTATAAATTCCGAGAAAACGTGTTTATTTAAGGCTATATTTTAGTGGAAATGTATTTTAGTGCTCTCAAAGAAAACCTGAAATGCTATGGTTTTAATGCTGAAACAAAGCATCACTACTTTACAGTAATATTGACTTAAATAAACAGATTTTTTAGAATTTATAAAATGCCACTTATACCATTTTGGTTTTCACACATTCATATATTCGTATTTTGAATTTTTGAAATTACATTTCCGTCATTCGATGGAGGTGCAACCTCCAGTCTGTTGGCGCACCAGCCGCCACTGTTTTCTCCACAAGTTTGATAATTGACAACAGTTGACCATTGTTTGTTTTCTCTTGCTTGAAATACTCTCACATTGCAGCATTTTTCCCGCGTCTGGTCTCGCAATGGAACACCTCGATAATTTTTTTTTCTTTCTTGGGGGGATGATTTCTGTAGCTTCCTAAGAAAGTAAGAACTCTCTCTACCTTATGACATTTTACGCGCCAATATAATATTCACCACAAATGATTTGACCGAAGAACTACTCACGATAACAGTGCTGAAAACAACAACAAAAAATGATTCAAAGCACAAGATATTTCTTCTTTAGTGTAGTTCCTTGTCACTGACCAGCAACTGGAAGTTGCGAAACGTACAAAAGTTGACAGAAGAGGGTATCTGAAGGGTTCCCTAAATCTGTATTTACTCTGCTATCCGCGTCCAGGGCACGCCAGTCTACGCTCATACGTCCCTAAATCTGTCATCGCGCCCCGCCTCATCGATGCGCTCCGTGTCCGAAACCACACGCGAAGCCATACGCAGCCGTCGTTGGTAGAGCGCTGCCCCCTCCACTGCAGCTCTCCGTTATCCCAAATCGGTTTTAATTTTAATCGGGCCATATAGAATTACTATATTCCTACCTACGTCATAAATTCTTCCAGGAGTCTTGACTAGAGATATAGGAATACTAAATTTCTGCATGCGTCAACTGTCAGATCTCGCTCTGCCAACCTTGGAAGAAATTCTACAGGATATTAGATGTCGCTCTTAGTTTGTTTTTTTTTTTACTTTTAAGTTTTCGTTAATAGCAGCAAATGATAAAATTGTACTAGAATGTGAATTAGGTTGTCCAAATAATATAATTACGACGTCAAATTCTTGATCTATAATAGCATACAGAGATGTCCAGAACACGTGAATTTCAGTAGTTCAGAGGGCAGCATTGGGTGGGAAGCGGCAGCCTGCTACAAGCCGTGACCTTATGGATAAAACACGAGTGTCGATTTTCTTTTAAAACGTTGTCTTCATTCTTTGTCGAAGATTTTCCTCCGTCTATAATGGTTTAAAAACATTTTTGTTTTGTTTAGGTACACTTTCTCGCAATGAGATGTTATTTTATCTCAAATAAAGTTGTATTGTCACTAATAACTAAGTTCTCTGATAGTAGTCTGGGGCAAAAGGGGCCAGTACTCCTCGCCCAGGAGAGAGTAAGCGTCTTTACATGCCCTACTATTCCCAAAAATCATGAATGTAAAATTATAGCATCCTCAGAACTCAGAGGGCAAAAGTATATTTCTGCTTTGAAGCAAGAAAAGTTAGTAAATGGATATTTCAAGTCAACCATCAAACATTGTAGGCTACTAGTTTCGCCTATTTTCATAATTCACGATTCACACGTCTAAACATGTTCCTGTTATTCTCAGATGTTTCACGAGAAAACGTATGTAGATTTTCCACATTTTGCAATAATATAAACAACCCACTAAAGGACATAGCTCTCAATAAATGTCATTTACTTGCATTGCCTAAACGTGTCATCACATTAAACAAACGGGATCATAATATGTAAGAGCCATTAAAATTTTGTGGATTTTCAAGACGTTATTTATATAAAAGCTAACCCCAAATATTACGTAAGTCACCGAATCAACTGATTTCTTCTGCCTCCATGCTATCAAATCGTGTCCCAATTGTATTGCAAGCAATGGCATCATTATAACTTGCGAGCACAAGATATTAAAAATACATTTAATAAAAAATTCATTAAAACAATTCATAAAAACATTAATATCGTTCGGGATAACAAGTACTATTTTAAGCGCGTGACTATAATATTGAAATTCAACCATCAAACTTTGAATTCAGCAAAGGAAATTGCAAACATTGTTTAAAAATGTGATAAAAAGTGCAATACTTATTTATATTTTTCAATAACCATATATTTATTACAATTATGCATTGAAAAATTAATGGATAAATTATATTCAATTCTGTTTAAATTAGTGTTGAACGTGAAAAATTACGAACATTTTTAGGACTGTTTTTATGAACATTCTGGATTTTTTCAATCGATTATTCAAATTTAATGTAGGTAATATTCCTTTTCGATGATAATAATGCAAATTTCGAAAATGAAAATGCCGACATTTATAAAAATATACGGAAGGAGTTACTTCTATGGTTCTAGAACATGGGCTTGAAATTCATTGGCCCTTTTGTGCCGCATGAAAGGGCACTTGGAATCAAATGTTTTATGCATTTCATTTCCTTATAAAGCAGCATCTTAGCATCATCGCTAAGGTCATGATAATATTTACTTTGACCCGTTTTCAAAAACAAAAGGTTGTGACGTGTGCTGATAAAATAGTGCTTTTTTAAATCCAATTTGTTGGCGAAATTCGCAGCCATAATCTAAATAAACCGAAAGAAATCAATATCATTGCAAATAACAAATACGATAAGACACACGCCTATTGGCAAACGCATAATACAACCAAAAACTAATTCCCTAGGAATCGCTTACGGGCGTAGCAGAGGTTGCCACCCAACACTTTCCCGTCAAACGTTGTGACGCCATTTTAGACAGCTCTATGTAGTTTGTTAGGAACCAAAAGTCCTCTTCACTACTTTAAATTTCGTGACTTCACAAGGCACTGCGTCGAAAGCTGGAAGAGGACACTCTCAACCAGATATCAAAAAAGTTGTAACAATGGTTGCAATTAGTTACATGTGTTCATCTGATATCTGTCAAGAGTCACTATATTTAAATTGAACATGCGTAAAGATTGTCGATGAGTGTAGGGCTAGGAAGTGTTGAATATTGAAGAGGAAATAAAATTTGTGTGAATTGATAGGGTAGCTTTGCCAATATGATTGTTTTAAGAAATTATCGCATGTCCAAAGAAGTCTGCACAATGAGGCCATTTACATTATTTGCTCAGATGTCAACAATGAACAATAGATTACCAGTTAATGCTGCCGACGCCGGGGAAAGTGAGGTTAATGTAGGAGAAACGGTACAGTTTAGTGAAGAAGAACTGGAAGCAATACGGAATAAATCTCGACTGCGTATTAGCGACCGTAATTTAATTCACAATAATGTTCCGTACCCACGACCAGTTGCTGAGCATCACTATACAGTTAAATATAAGCGGCGGCTGTACGGCCGGTATGGAGCTGAAAGTGGGGTAGATCCTAGAATATGTTGGCCGTCATCAGATGATTTAACGATCATGCGAGAATATGAATCTGCTTCGAGGCCTCATTCTCTTCAAGAAATGATTAATATTAACCTGGAAAGTAAAGCAGCAGAGAGAAAACGGATTATTCTGAGGTAATCAAGTTATTCTTGTAAATTATATATAATTGTCACGACCTATATATTTACATAATTTATATATAATGTATACAAGGAGCGATAATCGCGCTCGTCAAAACCGTTCAAAGGATTGGTTGTCTTGGTAGCTAAGTGGTTAGAGCAGCTGGGCGTAAACCCAAGGCCTGGGTTTGAGACCTGGTCTGGGCAACCAATTCTTTGAACAAATTTAATTGTTCTTGTAAATTAATTTCTTGATTTGATGATTAGGTAATTTTTAAATATTTGTTTAGAAGGAAAGTTGAAACCAAACAGAGTGTTTACAAATGGTGAGGACAATTTATTCAAATCGAACATACAAATGAAATTTGATTTGCTCTATTCTCACAGCAATGCTACCTTGACTTAGATGTGTGCAATGTTATGGATATTTAGGTAGAAGTGACGGTCATTAGTTATTGTTCAGGTAATATGTGATTATTTAAATGGCAAATATGTAATGCCTGATAAAGTAAGAAGGTTCTTGGAATGTTCAAAATCATAGGCATGCATGCACGGGGGCTGTGGGCCTCCTGAAAAATTTTGAAGGGGTCGTATGGCCATACATAATAAAAAATTTTATTTCTGTTAATGTTATCAATTCCTGATTTCCTTCTGTTTAAACCAATAATTTTCAGTCTATATATATGAAATTTTGTGATTAAAGGCTCTCCAATCCATCTTGGAATTCTTTTATCTGGCTATCCTGTAAATAGATATACTCAAAATCAAATGCATTTTTTAGTGGTATCATTGCAATTATAATTTCATTATCCTTTTAAGGTTCATTTATTTATAAATGGAATATGTCATACATAAATATAGTTTATTGGAAAAAGGGGCTCAGAAATGTAGCGGCTACCACCTCTTGATTTAGGCTATGCATGTTCACTCTGAAGACAGTGGTATGAATCTGATTTCTTTGTATAGGAAGAGTAATTTTGTGGACCCTGCTTGACCCAAAAATAGCAAATGAAAACTGCAAACAGAACAATCATACCAGAATGGATTTTCCTGTAGTATTGAGATTGTGCAATTTCTTAAAACCCTGTCCGTTATTGATTATTTGTGGGATTATGTCATTGGTCTGAAGAATCAGCATTTGTATTATTTCAGACCAGTGTGCTCCTGTCTAAAGGATTACCATAGAATGAAAACTGACCCAAACTATCACTTAATCCCATCCCAAAGCTGTTGTGTAGAATCCATGGCTTGGTCTCAGACCTCTGGTATATCTCTATCAGATATCAAAACAGAAACTTATTATAAATGAACATGAACAATATGGTCTGCACCAAATTCCATAGAAAGTGATGTTTGTTGGAAGATGAAAATGTTTCTCTTCACACAGCTTATCATTAGCATTACACAAGTATAGTGTGAGTACAAAGATTAAATGGAACATTTGATCTTCTTGGTTCAATCCCCTTAAATTTTATTTCACAGGCCTTTTGAGGAGTATTTTGGTGGCCAAAGAGCAAATTAGATTTTTACATCTTCAAACTTTGTCAACCCCTACCAATCGTAGTTGATTGTAAATTGAGAATGGATTTACATCATTTCCATGAACAATTTACATGACATTCACACATCCCACTTTGGATATAAACTGGAATTTAGACCAAAGATGGGCTGATGCTTCAAATAGATTTATGTGGAATCACGGTTGTATTATTTAATCCTACCTCTATGTAAGTTATATATTTGAAACCTACTATTGATCACTCAAATAGCAACTTAAGGAATGTCTTTACAGATATTGAAGAAAATCTTTAAAATATCATACCGTGGAGCAAGAGTCGTGAATCATCAATAAATTATGTTAGTATGATGTAAGCACAAGGGATATATTTAAAAGATATATTTTTTGAAATCCAATTCTCTTGATTACTCTTAGATTGCATGTTCTTCAGAAAAAAAGCAGATTTGGATTGTGTATTTTTACTGTTTCATTGGCAATGCATTTCAACAAAAATGTGTAGCTACATACAGACTGTTTATCAAACTCATGGCTAAACTTTTGTTGCCTTCATATGTCAGTGTCGTTTCCATTTTCTTTGCTTAATTACTTTCATATCGTGAAATTAGATACACTGTATTCTGTTATTAATGTAATCAATGTTTTTAGATGAAAATGTATGATCTAATTTAAGAGGCATTACGTACTCCGACTCTATAAATGTGCCAAGTGAATTGATACTGGCGATCTTTCGAGTATTTAATATTTGTTGACTATAAGCTTTTTTCTTTTTTATAATTTATAAATTGAATAATTTTTCAATGAAATGAATGAGAAACAGAATCTTTTGAAGATCATTTGTTTTGATGTATTATATGCAACATTTCTAGTTTCATTTACAAATGTTCAGTCTATTCTTTTAACATTTTATATTGTTTTGTTGTGATGGAGTTATTAATTTTTGGAAAGAGTATTCTAAAAATTACCTACAAGCAAAGCATTTCACGGACTGTCCTTGAAATATTTTTTGATGTATACCTTTTTGGAATGTATCATAAAAAGTTAATGTAACATGCGCTAACTTATTATTTTATATTCTAACTCATTAATTTTTCTAGTACCAATTCACAAGCTTTACTTATTATCCATGATGTTAATTTGAACAGGGAGCAGGAGATGGCCACAAAGCTGGCAAAATTAGAAAAAATGAAAGAAGAATTAAATGCAAGAATAAGAAAGAGAGAAGCTGATGCTCTTGTGGCTAAAGTAAGTAGTAGTACTGATAATGTACAATATTGATTAACCTTCTGTGAAGATTCATATGAAGCATTGCAGTGAATGTTTCTTGGTATATACTTCATGAAATATAATACAATAAGTATATTAATTAGATTCAAATAAATTAAAACAGATTCTATTTTTATGTAGAATGGAAATAAATACAGTACTATTGTTCTTAACTCTAACTGTAACTACTAACTAGGATTAAACTATTTTTGTGTGTAAAAGCAATGAAACCCTAGTGATCTCTCCCTCTTAAAAAAGTTTTCATAGTCATTATACATTTGTATAAACACACACTAATTTTCTTTTACATTATGAAGTATTTACATTAAATTACATTTATAATTAAATTTATAAAATAAATAATAATTAAATTGCATAAATTACATTACATTTTTACATTAAAAAGTATGTGAAGTTGATTTTCTGTATGAACTTTTATTTTATACTTAACAATATCAGATGATTTATTAGCTTCTTCAATTTAACAATTATATACAATGATTTATACACTTGTATTTTCATATTCCTTGCCTTTCAACCAGATGCCTAACCATTACCTTCCAAGCAGATAGCTAACCTTTCTCGTAATTTTCTAACTGCCCCTGATTGCTTTATTTTCTGTGGTAATTGTACGTTGTCAGCAGTGGCGTAACGTTCGAGCCCGCAATGGAGGTGGGTCTAGTTTTCTTTTGTCTATTTCTTAAGTGGGCAGCTTTCACAACTATAAACACCTACGAGAGATCCCCTCCCCCTTGGTTTTGTGTCATTGTTTTCGTTCCTTTATTTCAGAGTTTCGGTTTTAAGGTGCCGGAATCTCGCTTTTCGTCCCAACCTCTGGGTTACTCTGCGGATTCTCTCCACGCAGCGCATCCAGGGCCCCCACGAGGTGGTTTCGGAAGGGGCTTGATGACTCAGCCTTGCTACAAATGCTTCCCGTTACAGGAGGACTTTTTCTTGCCTTTAACGGAGTATACCGATGAGCTTCAGTACACCTCACTAGGACCCAAAGTCACCTATTTGGACCCCATTTGAATCTCCCATTTGGGAGAAAGCAGTGGCTAGCAATGGCAACCTAATAATGTATTCAGGTGTTTATAATAAAGCATAAAGTAGGTAGCAGATAATATTTTTGTGTTGAAAATCGTAATTGTAAAGTAAAAAAAACACACAAGTTTTTCTCTGAATTTAAATAAATTTATCTGGAGTACTTCCAACAAATGAGAAAAGAACGTGATATTTAGTTTTATAGGTTTTAATTTTTTTCAAACACATTACGCCCTTGAACATTGACTTTAGTTATTCTTGTGATTTTCTATAGATAAAGATGTTTCGAAATAACCCAATAACTCCGTCGACGGTTCCCTTGAAGAATTAAAAAATCTTAAATTAGCATTACGATTATGGGATTTGAAATGGAAATCAAAATATTCAAAATTATGTCAAGTTACGATTTCAATATAAGATCCTCTTCTCCTCAACTTCAAAAGAAAACGTCAAGTAATTTTATCAAGACTCCGAATTGGCCATTTTAATTTGAGACACAGTTATTTATTTAAAATATGAATCCAGATCCGTGTTCAAATTGTGGTGAAATTATTTCTACATCCCATTTATCAGTTGAATGTCATTTCACAAGTAATCTCAGGAAAAACTTGAAATTTGATACTAGTTTCCATTCTGTGTTAAATTCTACTTCGCAGGAGCTTCAGAAAAATATGTACAGTATTTCCTTTCTTATAAAAATCAATGCTTGTAAATATTAAATGTTATTTATTGAATTTTTTATATTGTTAAAAGACAATGACAGGAAATACACACTCGCACAGAGAGACACAGACACACGCGCACAGAGAGACACAGACACTCGCGCACACAGACAGACAGACACACGCGCACACAGAGACAGACAGACACGCGCACACAGAGAGAGACAGATACACGCGCACACAGAGAGACAGACAGACACACGCGCACACGGAGAGAGAGAGAGATACAGACAGACGCACACAGAGAGACAGACAGAGACACGCGCACACAGAGAGAGACAGACAGAGACACACGCACACAGTGAGAGACAGACACACGTGCACACAGAGAGAGAGAGACAGACAGACACGCGCACAGGGGGAGAGACAGACACACGCGCACACGGAGAGAGAGAGAGACAGACACACGCATACACGGAGAGAGACAGACACTCGAGAGAGAGAGAGAGAGAGAGAGAGAGAGAGAGAGAGAGAGAGAGAGAGAGATTTGTGTAACATTTTTTAGAGCAGATTGGATTAGGGGATTTTAATACATTTTTGTTTTTTTACTTGTATGTTTTTTCTGTATAGTGCCTTTGAATAGGGAATTTAAAGTGTTGTTCGCGTTTATTTTTCATTTATTGTTGGAGATAGTGAATGGTTGTATTTGTTTCAGGCCAAGAAAGATCGACTAATTGAAGAAGTTCGACGATATTTTGGTTTCAAAGTAGATCCAAAAGATGAACGATTTAAGGAGATGCTTGAAAAGAAAGAGAAAGAAGAAAAGAAACTTGCCAAAGAAGCTAAGAAGAAGGCTAGAGAAGCCAAATATTTGTCTCAGTTAGTGGAAGCTTCAGGAAAACCTCAAGATACAAACTCTGGCTGAAGGTCTCTGTGATATGAGTAGTAAGAAGTCATCTACCCATCCTAGTCTAACAATTGTTTGTACATCGGAACAAGGGCTTTGTGACCTATGCCACCTTTTTCTTCTTGTGATCGTGTTTTTCAAAACCCAGAATTTTAAATTGAGCATATGAATATGTATCCCTACTTATGAAATTAATTGTTAAAACTACAATACTGATAAAAAAAACTGTTCAGTGCAAGGGATGATTTGAATCCTGACTCAAACAAATGTGTGAAAGACAACTAAGTTTATTTCTCATAAGATAGATCAACAATACAATAAAGAATAATCCTTCATTTATTGATTATTAACAACGAAATGTCTCCTAATTTCTATCGTTTTCCTTGTTTAGGATCACTTCAACATTTCAGTTCTTCTTAATTAAAATTCCATAGAATTTCTGTAATGTACACACATTTGCATTTAAAATATCTCATTTGAGTATAAATCTATTATCAATAATTTCATTAATTTTTAATTGTTGTGAAAGAATGTTTCTTGATGTTTTTTTAAGAATTGGTTTGAAGGTCCTTTAATTTTTTAGGCAGACATTCATTCACATAATAATTATTTATTAAAATCATACAATTTTAAGACCTATGTTTCGAAGGTCATTGGCCTTCATCTTCAGGGTCTAATATATATAAGCGAATACAATATTAATGAAACAATTCTTCTAATTGTTTTAATGAATCTTTGACAACTTTTTTCAATTTTTTTTGTTAATGATAATTATTTCATGATATATTTTTAATTTAAACGTTATAACAAAATTTGATGAAAAATAATTAAAATTATAATTTCATTAAATACAAATGTAAAGTACCACCAAAAGTTGAAATAGCGGTTTCATATTCAAGAGGCCATGACGTCAGCTAGATCGATTGGGGAATATCAGTTTTGGACAAAATCGGCTCTCAGGTTTAGCGGCTAGCATTGTTCACAGATTGACTGACATTTACCACCATTCGATTTTTCCGTTTCCAGGGTGCATAAAACATGGATTCTGGCTACACCACATGATAGAGGATTCTTTTCTAAATGCAACAACTTTATCCACTTTTTTGGTGCCAAGGTCCTGTAATAAGTCTTTCTGCCGAAAATTGCATTTTTTTCACCCAGCATTACATTTGTCTATTCCGTAGCAACAAAGAAAAAATACGAATTTTATGTTATGACACTCATTTTCAAATATTTTATAATGATTAACAGAACTCCTATGAAGCCTTTTAATGATGCTTGCCCCTTAATGCACGAATCACTATTTGGGTGGTACCTGTAATTCAACCACCACTTAAAAATTTGAAGCGTTTATTTCGAAAATTCAGTTTCGAATTGTGCCAATATTGCAGCTGGTAAAAGATTTTAATGAGCCAATATTTTAGCCGCAAAACCCTGTTAACATATATTGTCATGAAGTGAAGGAAAAAATGCAGGGGTTATAATTATCTTATGTGACTCTCTGAAAGCACAAGCTATTAGTTCACTCTGAAAATACGCAAAAAATAATTCGAGCATTCTAGTCATTTTGTTATTTTTTCATTAGGTTTGATTTGTATTCAGCGTTCATCGTTACACCGCTGAAAACCGTGGTTATAACAAACAGCAGAAATGAATCTTACTAGATTTAATATATTAAAAGAATAGTACACATGAAACACTTGGAGTTATTAAAATATCCTAGTGATCGGCAAGCGATTTGCCTCACTCGACAGTTTCATCGAAAACTCAAAGAAACGACGCTACGCCAAGCCCCGTTGGCAGACGCGTAGGTGTCTGGTGTCGTGGCTGGAGGTTTGTATTTCGCGCGCGGAAGTAACTTTTGAACCGATTTTACGAAAGAAGAAATTTGGGAGGGGGGGGGGCGAAAATAAGTGGAATTGCCATTCTTTATGAACGGCAACACAGTATCTGAGGTAGTTTTTGTAACGGAAGCTCCTGGATATTGTATATTGACACCGCCTGAAATAAAGCGCAGGAAAATAAAACTAAGGTAATATATTTGTCTGAACAACCCGAAATACTTTACAGCTAAATTATGTCAAGGAGACGTAACTCATAGAATTCTGAACATTTTACATTTGTTCTAACCTTATGTACCACTTTTTTGTATTATGCGTTGTGCAAGTTTTTCTTAGCTTTATAATGTAGTTTTGGGTGCAAAGAATAATGGAAAAATTTCATATATTCTCTAAAGTGCTGGTCGAAAATATTTTGAGAAAGTAAATACCCACTTTTGTTCTATAGGCCGAAGGTAACGATAAGGCGGAGTTAACCCAATTTTTAAGCTGTTCAAAAAGAAGTTGGCATCGTGAACACTAGGTGTTACGAGTGAAACGATTCTTTGAAGATTGGCTTGAGTTAGGAGTTAACTCGAGAATCGACACAGTGGAGTGCATTGCAACACACGCGCGTTTGTTCGTTCACTATTCACTCAGCCAAATTCATCTTAGTGGTTTAAGTTATTGGCGAAAGTAATTTGCTTGAAACTTACAGAGAACATCGTATTGTTAATGCTAACAGGAAAAGAAAAATGCAGATTGTAACAATATCTGTGTACGTATCTTAGAACTACGAACTGGTTGGGTTGATCTGTCCAGTCAGTGCGTGTTCGGGCTTGCTTCAACGGACGTTTATGAGTACCTTTACTTTGTATATTCAAGATCAATAATACAATATTCATTCAAAGAATTAATAGGTTATAGGTCCAGGCTACGTGTGAATCGTATTCTCTTGTGAGTGGATCCGAATTTCAACGTCCGAAGAAAACGTGCTGTTTTTTATACGTCTGTGTTGTCTCATTTACACAGAACCACGCCCTCCTACCATGTTTTTTTGGGGGGGGGAAGTAAAATGAGAACACACACAAAGGTTTAAATGATCTCTCATCAACTCATGTCATTACTACAAAAGAAAACTGGTAGAAAAACACGCTCACTCGGTACGTCTCGCGACTGACTGCCTCTTGGCCTTGCGCAAAGAGAAAAATAGAAAGTGCGCATCTAGCGTTGTCATTGGATCAATCAAATCAACTTATCCAAATGCTCACACGTACAACACAATCTTAAATTGTTATTTCAGCACAAAAAAAACAACAAAGAAATAATTTATCTTTAATATCTTCTAAGGAGAGATCTCGAGCACCGAAACTGAACTCGTGGAATCGATTTCGTACGAATATCAACCGCTTTCTCTTTGCTGCACACATGCATCACACCCAAGCGACCGTTAACTACTAGATCTCGCACATCAATGTGCTTGTTATTAAGAAACTTTGAGTTTTTCCATACTTTCTTAGTATTCGCACAATCGACTAGCAACGTTCTCTCTGATTTCAATAAACAATGTATTTAAACAGGCAAACTGCTACGCCTTCAGCCGCTTATTCAGCCTCTGTTCACGAGAGATTGACGCACTGTTGCCTGCTACTCGACCACGTAATGACTTTCGAGTGACTCCCTCACACCTTCATTCTTGGTACTTCTGAAAGTAAATTTTGATACTCTACGCTGGACCTTTTCTAGATTCCTTTACTGCAAAATTCTGTATGGGTCCCAACATATGCTAGTTCTTCGACTCTCACTGTACTTTTTTCAGAATTCGCATAACAAAATGTAAAGATTTCCAGGCTTTCCCTACAACGAAATTGACTTGATTTCCCCAGCTCAATTTACTGTCTAGCTGTATTCCTAAATATTTGCAAGTCGTGGCTCGAAGTATAACATTGTTCAATTTGTACGCAGATTCATTATAACTTTGACCCCTACCAAACGTTTTAGACTTGCTCTTTGACCTGTTTATTTCCATGCCGTTTCCGCCCAGATTGTAATTTGTCTAAGTCTCACTGCAAAATATCCTTGTTCTCCGAGTCGATAATCCTCTAAATTACGCAGTTATCTGCAAAGATTCGTACATTTAAAGCTAAATTGGTCGGCAATTCATTCACGAAAGTACAACTTCCGATTCGGACCTTCTGTTTCCTGTTCCGAAGTTCGTTTACCCATGTTACTACTCTGTCTATACCCGAACCTATTTCTTTATAAGACGATCGTGTGAAACAACATCAAAAGCTTTGGCAAAATCTTTTACTATCGCATCGTCCCTTTTCCCTTCATCAACTACGTTGGCTAGGGCCTGTAGAGGTGAGGGAAGCTGACTTTCGCATGAGAAACCATTCCTGAAACCGTGCTGACCCTGTTAAAGCCACTACCTGCCCTCCCATTCTTTCTTGATATAGCTAGAAATTAGATGTTCTATAAGATTGCATACGACTGATGTAAGGCTTGCCGGTCTATAGTTACTAAGTATTGTCTTGTCGCCACTTTAATCTGCCAGCATTGGTATCTGAATACTGTAGGTTTCTGTCTGAAAACCGAGCTAAAATACGCGTTAATAACTTTTGCTTTTTCTCTGTCCGTTATTGGCGAATTATTTACACGAACAACTGGAATCTCGTTTTTACTTCCCTTCTACGACCATATTTAAAAACAGACCAATCATTACTCACCCCCGTATCAAGAATATATTTTAAATGACGTTCCTCTTCCATTTTCTTTTTCTTCCTTAACGATGTTGAATAATTTCATATGATTTTCACTATGATGTCTGTTGCTAAATGCTTCTGTGTTTTTTCTTTTCAATTTTTGCATTGTAATATTCAAGATCGAAGTTGGTTTTTAACAATTTACTTGGTACAAAAGCCTGCTCAGAATTTACTAGAATATTTTTAAACGATCCCCATATTTCTTCCATTCCTCCTATTCTAAGAAACTCGCCATATCGTTCTCTAAAGTAATTCCGAAACCCTTGTACATTCGCATTCTTGTATTCACTAGAATATCGGTGGCAATATTTTTCCTTGAAATATTTAAATGTAAATACACTAAAATGGCTTTATGATCACTTAACCTTTTTTAACGTCGCACGACAAGAATAAGTCCTTCGGTCTAATTAGGCAAATATCAAGAATCGGGTCCTGCCGGGTCGCCCGGTCTACTCCCTGCGCTAATCCGCGATCCCAGACTAGTCTGTTGACTAGTATTTTTCCTTCGCATACTATCCCTTTCCGATTAGCGCCAGGGAGATTTAAATCTCCAGCAATCTACATGACGATTAAGGGCGCCTATGATTTCGTAACTGTTGCCCAGTGGACAATAAAAAGCAATTATCTCTAAGATACTTCCTGAACAGAAAATATCTGCACCCATCATTTCAAATTCCTTATCAACCCAATTTGATCCGATATTAAATGCGTTTTTCACGCAAATAAAGACACCACCACCTCTGGTTCGCGATCTCTCCTAAACGTAATGTAGTCTGAACGAAACAATTCTGGGTTTGCTGCTGCATCCGAAAGCCAAGACTCAGTTCCTGTTACATCAGGATCACATACTTCTATTAAATTCCAAAATGCGGTTTCCTTATTCATGATACGACAGTTCACCTGCAACAGTTT